GGGATGTATTGTATAAATGGCAGCAGCTACCAGACAGTGTTGGAGTAACATAGAATAAAACTAAAATTAAATGATAAGATAAAAGCAGGACGGTAATCAAACGGTGAAAAAGCAAAAAGTTGATTTGTATTTGTAATATGAACTAATCGGATGATGGTATATTTTATGTTCTTCTATCCCCCAAACCTTTTCCCCCTCTTCCCTATTCCCCCCTACTTTTTGTATTCTCCACCCCTGTTCTTAAATAAATATTTAAAAATGAAAAAAAAAGGTTTGGGTACTTTCCAGAAGATGTTTGGGTATGCCTTTTGAAAAGGAGCTTCGCTGTCTCATAGTCTGTGTAGATGTCTCTGATGATACGGCGAATGATGTGGTGCCTTTTTGAATGCACGTTGCTCTAAGTAGTATGTTCATGAATCTCTATTCATCTGGATGAGCCATGATGTTTGGACTCTCTGGTGGACTCCAGTTTCAAGTCCTGAGAATGTGAGGTCTGTGTGCTTATCTTTGATTTCTTCGATGCTGAGGCCACAGTTAGGTTTTAATGTTGGTATTTTCTCTGATGGTGTCATGTACATTCTGGTGAATGGGACTCAGACTGGGGTCAGGATGAATGCTGGCAGTATCATCTATGTGAGGTCAATTGGTTGGTGAAGGAGTTGGAAGGTAGAAAAGGAGAAATCTCTATTCTTCTATTTCAAAACCCTTAAGATCAAAGAGTCTGCTGGCCGCACATGGGTAATGCAGATGGGGTCTTACCTTTTCCATATTGTTGTGAGACTTTTCTGTGGTGGGTGATCTCATGGGTGGTGTTTTTACTTTGATACCGACTGTCCTTGCTACATCAACATTGGTACAGAATGTCCATGTCCTTGTGTCAATGATCTGGATGCCAGGATTCTGTGATAGCAGGGTGGCATTGAATAGAACACTATCATACACTGGAGAGAATTGGGATGCTTCTCTCCCCTAGACAATCATGGAAGAATGAGAGAAAATGCCATTTTAGGCCGTGGATAATAGTGGGACATTGGACGGTAGAGGTATAGTCAGATCTGATTCTGCCTCCCATTCAATCTTGTGATGCTACTTGATCTTTTGTAGACTTTTTTCTTGTAGCATAGTCAACTCTTAAATGGTTGAAGCTGATTCCAAAGATACATCGGGAGACTTCAGATTCCAGGTGTGGACTCTCCTGGAGCAGGAAAAGAGTACCGTATTTTTCGCTCCATAAGACGCACCTTTCCATAAGACGCACCAATTTTTTAGGAGAAGAAAACAGGAAAATATAATCTGTTTTCTTCGCTCCATAAGACGCACAGACTTTCCACCCCCCTGTTTTGTGGGAAAGAAGTGTGTCTTATGGTGCGAAAAATACGGTACTTAAGAATATGCTAAGTGAGTTCACTCCACTCTAGGGACTGACTGAATGTTGGAGATGAAGCCTAAGTGTTGCCTCATTGGAGGCATACCAGGTCCTCTTGTTCTTTCTTGATAAGATTGGGGAGGGAATTTGGTTGACAGCAGCTGAACTTTAGATATTCTTGAAATCCCTGCCCTGAGTTCCTGCTTTGGTTTTGATTTCTTTGCTAGGATGGGATTAGACTCGGTAGACTTCTTACATTTTTTGGAAACCAAGGAGGTGGATTTTGGCATGGATGTTGCTCTAGAAGTGGTTGACTGAGTGTTCTTGAGGTCAATGGTGGACCCTTGGTTTCAATTAGTAGCTTTGGATGTGACTCAGCTTCTCTTGGTCTCCAATCATCCTTGAGGGAGTCTTGCACACCAATACTGTTAGGATCAAGGAGGTTTGTTAATATAGAGAGCCAATGGCCTTAAGTAACATTTCCCAAAGGTGAAATCTGAGGCAGGTTTGTTGGTTCCTAATAGCGACTTTAATAAACTTTCAGCAGTATTGACAGTCTTGAGTTTGGCACTAAGGATTTTGTCTTCTTTCTTTTTATTTATTTATTTATTTTTGCCTCATATGCTAACACAGACTAATACGGCTGCTTCTTCTCGAACTACTTTGTAGAATTGATTTCTTAAGGACTAACTCGAAATATTTTGGCTCCAGCATGCATAAGTCAATCTTGAAAAATTTGTCAACAAATTGTTGTAGAACATGTGTTGGATTTCATGTTCTTTTTCATGGCCTCTGTGAATCACACTCTGGGTGATTTGGGCATGTGTGGAGCCTTGTCAGAACATTCTAGAGCTTCTGTGATTAGAAAATGCACATTAGTACAAGTCCCTTCCCCCTAGTATATATACTTTGGCACCAAGGCTCTCCCTTCAGTTAAATCACCTGTTGCTTAGGAATAAGGGCTTGACACTGAGGAGGCTGGATGGGGATGTTTGAATCACAGAGGACCAATCGAAAAACTACAAATACAGGTAGGTAACCTGTCCTCCGTCATGGCCTCTGTGAATCACACCCTGGGCGACTAAAAAACTGACTTACCTGAAAGAGGGTGTAACACCAAGATAGAAGATAGAAGAAAGTATAGCATGTTCAAAAGATGCATCGGACGTCTGGCAAACATCTAGCTGGTAGTGATTGATAAATGTAGACAGCTGCAACCATTTGGCAGATGTACAAATCTCATGGAGGAGAATCCCTCAGAGAAAAGTCATGGACACCGCCAGTGCCCTGCTAGAGTGTGGGCAAAGGGGCTGTGACATCAGAATATGTACAAGCTGGTAGGCAAGTTGGATAGCAGAGGTGACTCACTTGGATATACACTGTGAGGTGACTTAGAGGCTTCTTGGTGGAGGCTGGTAGTTGATAAACAAGTCTAGGCAAATGCCAGAACGGCTTTGTGCAGACTATATAAAAAGCGAGAGCCCATCTGACATCCAGTGTGTGAAGGATGCGTTGTTGAGGAGTAGATGGAGATGGGAAGGACAAAAGGACCAAGAGCTAAGAGAGGTGAAACTGCGAGACAACCTTGAGAAGGAACAAAAAATCTACAAAAAGCCAGACCTTGTTGTGATGATTTGTGTTTTTATGTGTATTAGAATGGGATATGTAGTCCTAAGATTGTCCCGATAGCATCCACCTTGATTTAAAGTCTGTTCTGTAGTAGGAAAGTTTTTCATGCTGTTTCAGAGAAGCTTCGCTCTCTGATTATCTCGTTGCTAAGATGAGTAGAGAGCAGAGACTTTCGTAGTCAAAATAATTCTGCCACAAAACTTGATAACAACTCTCAAGCTCTCATGAGAGAGTTATGCGGGACAACAAGACCCAGGAGGGGGTGTTCCTTATGAAGAATTCTGGGAAGAAGAAGGAAGTTGGTAAGGAGTTAAAAAAAGATGGAGTTGGACTGAGAAAGGTCAGACATGTGCTTTTTCCCATAATGGTTTGTAGCTTTGCTATGGACTATTTTTCCTACCATGGACTGATGGAAGTCAACTGGATTTCATCTAGCATCAGCCTATGAAGACCCAAGACACGTGAGATGGACTGTGTTATGCTTTTTATTAGTTAGCATAATTCTATTTCTTTATTTTTCTAGCTGGAGTGGGGGAGTGGAGTGTTCCGTTTGTCTTGATATGAAAATGTACCTACTGAACTATTTTACCATCAACTGAAACCTTTTCTAAAACAATTCTTTTCAATAAAGCAGTAATGATTTGATCTGCATGCATTGGTTCTTGTACAGACTAGCTGAATGTCTAATTGGCCATGTGTGTTTGCTACCAAAGATTTAGAGCCAGATTATTCTGAGTATAACTCATGGATTTGTCTGTATGTGTTGCTTTCTTAATAAAGGGGATTGGCTTTTGAGGAAGAAGTTTAGACAGGACCTTGCTGAGACCTAAGGGCTCTGCTCAGCAGTCAGAGGTTTGTCTGGATTTCGGACTCATCCCTATCTCCGGCACCTCCGTAAATCTCTTTGGAGATAAGGGGCTGCTTACACTTGTCAGAATGTAACTGAAGATATGGGTAGTTGGACCGTAGAGCTGCAAGCTTGCTGGCATGTCGTACAGAGATGATCACCATGAGGAACGTGGTCTTAAAGGTTAGGAGATGCAGGTCCACCAATGCAAGGGGCTTGAAAGGGGCCCGTGTAAAGTGTGTTGGAGGACTAGTGTCAATGACCACTGAGGTGGAGGAGAGCGGATATTCAGGTATATATGCATTAGCCCTTTAAGAAAATGCTTGTGAGTAGGATGTTTGAAGAATTTAGAGGCTGGAGAGGTTGGTGCTCGGTGTCCAACAATGACAGAGAGGTATACTTTGAGCAATGACATAAGAAAGTCCTGTGCACTCAAGGTGTTGCAGAAAATGTAGAACTGTGTGGAGAGAGGGGTTAGTTGGTGGCTATGCCACTGAGGAAGTGAAGGGCTGAATTTTTCCCCCATTTATACATGTAGACACTCCTGGTCAAGGGCTTCTTTGTGTGATGGATGATGTTCATCAAGGAGGCAGAATTCAAGTGACATGTAGAAATTGAGATCCCCACATGAAAATTATATTGCCACTTAACTGTGGTAAGGGTAGGGATCACTATCAATGCGCCTTGACAGAAACAAACTTCTTGTTGAACTGCTGAATTTGTGGCTATGGCATAGTTAAGCTCAGTGTTTTTTGCTTCCCTGGAATTCTTTAAGGCCAACTATATACACAAACTTGGAATTTTGTGGGAAAGCTGTAGCAGCTCTGGTGTACACTGCCATACTATGACTCACCTTAGCCTATTTCCAGAAATAAAATGTGTTCTTTTTACACTTCAGGACATCTGAAAAGTTTACAGACCATATACAAAGTAACACTTGATATTTCAGACACAGCTACTCCATTCAAAAAGCATGGGACTAATGTTCCCTCTGATTTCTGCAAACACTGAGAGGGGGCCCTGCCCTGTGTGCCACCCAACTGAAACGAATTGAGTGGCAACATTGGTTGCTGTTGCGCAGCACCATGCAGCTTAGAGGAAATGTTGCATGGGACACAGGACACCAAGAAGCTCAGTCATTTTTCTATCGTACGTTACCTTCAACTGTTGTGAAAACATTTCTTTTTCTTTCATTGCTGTTTCACTGATGTCTGGAACCATTCCAAGGCACTGCAGGTAAGCCATGACACTGTCATCTTGCAGCAGTGTAGTTTCCTTATTTTCCTGATGAAGCTGATGTCCTAAATCTGAACTAGCATCTAAGGGAACAAAAGAGTGAATATGTTATAATAAACGAGAATATGGGATGACATTCAAATGCCATTTCCAACTTGAGCTTAACAGAACACTATGAGCTATACTATCTGAATTTCATTTGGTATGAAATGGCTTTAGCTGGCTCCTTTTCATAACGGCTAGTTAGTTGCACTGTAGGTATACTGACTCTTTTTGGAAGACTTTCACATTTTATGGTTTCTGACTTTTACATTCACTTGTGTGGCTTGGGTATGATATAAAAATGATACAAAATAATAGAATATTAATAAATGCCAAGTGCTGGTTGTAATAGCTACAAAGAATGATATGCTAATTATCTGTAACTGTGGTGCTTCTACTGGTCTTCTTGTGGACCCACACAATGGGTTTTTCTGAGCTTCCTCCCCTTTCTCTTTTTGGCAGAAGCCTCACACCATATCATTCCTGTGCGTAGCTAGTGCACCTAGGCAGATCCTCCAATTCCCATAAACCTAAAAAGGTAGACACTGCGTAGTGACTCCACTGATGACAACTCAAAGAATCACAGTAACAGGTAAGCAACCTGCAATTCTTCATTGTGGTCTCTGTGGATCAAATCACTGGGAGATTGAAAGCTAACTTACTGGTGGGGGAGTGTCACTGTAGCACAAAAGACAGAATTGCTCTCCCAAATCTGGCATCTCACCAGGCTCTAAGAGCAAGATGGTAGTGTCAGATAAAGGTGGAAGCCTGTGTGATGATTTGTGTTTTTATGAGATGCTAGAATGGGTTTTGTAGTCATTTAATATTGTCTTGACAGCATCCATCTGTGTGTTTTGAAACTGACTCAAAACTATGAAAAAAGGAACAGGCAAGCAGGATGGAAGGCTTGAATTAAGGGAGAGAAAGGGTGGCTTCATCAAGCTTGTTTAAATGTAATGGGAGGAAATGGACATACTGAACTGAAGAAACTAATTGTTGAAAATTGGGGAGGAAAGGGTTGTGTGTGTGTGTGTGTGTGTGTGTGTGTGTGTGTGTGTGTGTGTGAGAGAGAGAGAGAGAGAGAGAGATACTGATTTGACTCTTTCATAAAACCATGAAAAAGGAACCTTCAAAAATGTAATCTCCACTGCATTTAGCTCTGTAGTTTCTGCTGAGAACAGAAGTCTAAAGCGTGTAGCAATCACTTTTCTCTATTTCTCATCCCCAAAGCAGACAAGAGTATCATAGTTTATTCCCAAAATCTGAATCCCAGGCTTTCTGCTCCTGGTCCTACTTTGACTGCAGCACCAAACAAAAGACTGTGGGTTTCTTTATTGAGTCAATCCATCTCATGTGCAGTCTTCCCCTTTTCCTACTGCATTGTAGGTAAAAAGGTTCCCTGACCCCTGCCCTAAGATTTGTGTGCAAGTCTATGCGCATGTGTGCAGAACTCCATCAGGGCTGCTCACCAGCAGCTGATTTGTTTACTTCTGCTTTCAGTTGAAACCCTGCTCCCCAGCACGTGCACAGGGCAAGGCTCCTGAACAGCTGGGTGGAAAATTATAATGTTGATTTTAACCAAACTACAGTGGTGCCCCGTAAGACGGGCGCTCCATTTGACAATGAAATCGCTTGACGTTGATGTTTTTGTGATCGCAAAAGCGATCGCAAAACAATGTTCCCTTTGGGGGAATTTTGCTTTGCGCTGATCGGTTCCCTGCTTCGGGAACCGATCATCGCAAAGCGATGATTTTTTAACAGCTGATTGGTGGTTTCAAAGTGGCCACCTCCTGTGTTTTCGCACAGATTTCTCGCTGCACAGGCAGCGAAAATGGCTGCGCTATGGAGGATCTTCACTGGACGGTGAGTTTGAAGCCCCTAGGAATGCATTAATCGGGTTTTAATGCGTTTCTATGGGCCTTTTAAAATCGCATGACGACATTTTCGTTCTACAGCAATTTTGCTGGAACGAATTAACGTCATCATGTGAGGCACCACTGTATCAGTAAACATGATAGTCTCAACATTGAATGCAAATGATATGGAGAAAGAGCAGCTAAATAAATATTGATGGAAGAAGATGAAAGTCTGTAATGATAATAGGAATTGTAAAATGTATGAAATATGATAGATGTCTGGAGACACAGCCTTCTCTTACACAAAGCCAGAGAAGTTATTCCACTTAGCTAGGTAAGATGAAAGAGTGGATGGCTTCCATCCACTGCAATTTTAGTTTCAGATGTGCAAAACACCTAAAACTGCTTGGGAGAGATCATCCATGACATTAGGCAGACAGACTGGAGGTTAGGATAGTGAATGCATTTGCTCCCCCCACCTCTGAGAGATCATGTCCAGATGTTGCGGAAGTTGTAAGAACATCCTGTGAAACAGAGTAGAGTGGTGTTCCATGGTTGCCTTGACTACCAGAGTGTGATTAGGATAGCTGAAGCTCTGGCCTCTCTGAGGTTGCTTCTTCCTTAGTCGTTCTTGTGGAGGGTCCTCTGAGCTATTTATTTTGAACTGGTGCGGCGGTAAGCAGCAACAATGTCTAAGGGACCATCTGTTGGCATTGATCTTGGCACTACCTACTCCTGTGTGGGTGCTTTTCAGCATGGCAAGGTGGAAATCATTGCCAATGATCAGGGTAACAGGACCACGCCAGGCTACGTTGCCTTACAGATACAGAGAGGCTCATTGGAGATGCTGCAAATAACCAAGTGGCCATGAACCCCACAAACATGGTATTTGATGCAAAACACCTGATTGGTCGCAGATTTGATTATGCTGTTGTCCAGTCTGATATGAAACACTGGCCTTTCACTGTTGTGAATGATGATGGTAGGCCAAAAGTCCAGGTGGAGTACAAAGCAGAAACAAAGAGCTTTTATCCTGAGGAGATATCCTCTATGGTGCTAACCAAAATGAAGGAGATAGCGGAGGCGTACTTGGGAAAGGTGAGAGTTTTGGGGTAGTTGAAGCTGACATTCTACTTGGAGACTAGTGATGAGGGTGTGATAAGTAATGCTTCTCCCACCTCTGGTTTTTGCAGACAGTTACTAATGCTGTGGTTACAGTCCCAGCTTATTTCAATGACTCCCAACGCCAGGCGACAAAGGATGCTGGAACCATTGCTGGCCTCAATGTACTCCGAATCATTAATGAGCCAACCGCAGCTGCTATTGCTTATGGACTGGACAAAAAAGTGAGTAGGAAATGGCATT